GCCTAATCAGGTGCTTAATGGTGATTCCAAAACCTTGCTTGAGTTTATAAAACACTGAACGTTTGGACGAGTTTCCTCTCTTCAACGTTGATTCCTGTTTGCGGAATGTCGAATATACTAATTCCGCGGTAATCGGAACAGCAGAAAAGAAGGCTGGAGACCCATGAATAGAGTGTTTTCGTCATCAGTGTGCACATATATACTAATGTGATTGGGAGGGGCAAGCGAATGTGGATGGCACGGAATACGATCCCTGCAGACCGAGGGGGCATGTTCAGGGACGTAACGCTGAAGCGGCTTTTTCGACAAATCGCTCCAAACCCAGGGTGGCATCAGTTGGTGGAAAAGGCCGCGCTGGTTGCGCTTCAGTCCACACCCCTATGCGCCCTTCCATTTGCAGGAATAATGACTGTAGACTGTATCCGATCATTCCTCCACCACTCCGATTATGGCGGAATGTATCTGGGAGCTTAGCGTGCTACGTGGCTTAAAAGTATAATTTCCAGAGGACGAAATCGTCAGTGGCACCCTTACCGCTCTAAAAGATGAAGTTGATAAGACAACGGAGGTGATTCGAAGAAAAGGACAACAAATGGTGAGTGAAATGTATGGCCAATCTTAAATCAGAATACTGCCTCAAACGTAACTCAGAAAGCTCACTAGTTACACAAACAACCGTTGACGGTAGGTAAGGCTGAGGCTAAACGGCGTTATGTAAACGTCGTTGGTTGGACGACACGTGATTCACTGAAACTCAATCAGAACCGTAATCCGCCCTTCTTTAGCGCATGGAACGCCGCCAGTTCCAGACCGAGATGGAGGTGACCGGAAGAGTTTCCGTCTCACCAACGGACGAGTTTCTGAGTACACGACTCAGGGTGAGTTCATCAACTTCTTCCATTGGCACATTCGTCATGCCAAGACATCTTTTCAGACCATTTCTATGGAGGACATGAATCGTGAACTTGGAAAGATCAAGGAAGATCAACGTGAGTGCACTTTGAGGGCACTCTGATGGAAACCAATTTCAAAACCAATAGAGCTACTTACTTTCAGGCCAGAACGCTGTAACAGACACATTGGCGGCACTTGTGTATGATGTGAACGCGACAGCTGAGGTGCTCAGACGAGGACATGGACGAGGAAGAGATGGCAAGAAAAGCGTTCAAAGAGAAGTAAGTCTTAATATTCCCACAAGATTATGGGATTACGGTAGCCAAAGAAGTAGTGAGGATCTCTGCTTTGATGGCCTTTCTTATTCCCAAAATCCTCATAAACCAAAAGGATAATGTGCTCCTTACCAACAACCCCTCGTAAGCGCCACACATTGGATAGTTGCTCGGAACTCTGGGAATTTCAGCGGGTATCGTCGTGCATCGGCCTATACTCTCCGTAACCCAGAGACAGGGAGGGCGTGGCTGTGTACTCCATGAACGTGACGCAGAAAGCGTTGTTCATGGGTTATTCAATTTTGAGACAGCTGCAGTCTTGCGCTGCCCTGGGCAAATATACTACGACACCCCTCCCAAAACGGACATGTCCCACGAAAAGCGTAGCTGTCTCTTCGTTCAAAAGAAGAACGCAGCAACGCCCATTCCGATTCTGGGATATGGGGTGTGGCTCACTGGCGTCTTTCAGATGCAGGAGGTCAGAAGGTTGGATCACGGCCGAGCCCGGATGGGTTTGGATCACTAATGTGCGTTCACTTAGCCCGATCCCTACCATATGGTTCGAATTTTGATTGACTTTTTTCAGGAGATCGAATATCGCCTACGTCTCTCGCCTCCAGTCGAAGAAGAACGCCCATTCCCTTCGCCGAAGCCACGGACTAGTAAGTATTCCTCCAAGACGACCGACTCTCCCTACATCAGCATGTCTCGTCACTCATATGTCAAACCATTTTCAGTACCAGAAGAGAGGTATACGGTAGATGAGGTGTCGCGCGACTATGGAGTGGCAATGAGCGAGAGCCAGACAAACAGCCTTCGTCGCACACGAGCGCGATCTGAAACTCCGAGGAGGACGCTCCAGATCGAGGTAATCAGTGACTGTATTGATTACCAGAAAACTGTAGGGTGTGTCAGAAGTTCCTGCTTTTCTCAGCCTTTTTGCGAGTCACATTTATTTTAACAAATAAAAACACCAATAAGCAATATATCCAACATTATCCAACATGCTGGGCAACAACCAAGCAAAGCGTAAATGCCTAGCTTCCAGAAGCTTTCCGGTTCCATTCCGTAAGAGGCTCAGATCCGTTCTGATGTTTGGAACGTGGGTTTTCACCCGGATGGTGGCTGCTGAGGGACACGGTGAAATGGCATTAAGACGAAACTAAGTAATTGCTTTAGGTACGAAAGGCCGGTAGAATTTCCCAGCAAATCTTCAGAATCTGGAGCTGTGTCATTTA